GAGCCAGTGTATCGTCATCAGGTGAGGCCTGGGTGGGCGGCCGAGATGGGCCTGGGGGCTTGCCCGGGGTCTGGGTGGTGACCGGCGAGGTCTCGCTGGGCTCTCCCCATGGAAGCTTCAAGCCAAGCTCATCTCCGATGCTGTTGGTGAGTCGAAACCCAGCCATGCTTGCAAGGCGTCGCTCTTCCCAACCTGTCTGTTTTTCTGGATGGGAGAAACAGGGAGATGGAGAAGGGAGGTGAGTGGCAGACAAAGCTGGCTTTTGTGGAGCGGTTTGACTGCTGGTAATGCAGATAAATGTGTCGGGTTTGCTTCTGGAGGGGTGTGGCCTTGGAAAGATTTAACCAGCCATGAGGTGCTCTTTGGCAAAGCAGCTCGACGTAATAAAGGTTATATGTCATGAAGAAAACCTGTTTTCCCAAAGTGGAGCATTCCATTTATATCCAAAGAGCAGGAGAAAGAAAACCAGAAGCCTTTTTGCCCTGAGACCTTTGGGAATCTGGTCAGGGAAAATCTTACAGTCATGGGCAGTTCTGTTCGCTGGAAGGGGAAAAAAATGGGCTTTTGTAACCAAAGAGCGTACCGTTGTCACAAGCATTTCACTCCGTGGTGTCACATTGTTCTGCTGAAACTGCAGGGCAGCAGAGAGCATCAACTAGTAGAGAAAGCCTCAGACAGCATGAACTATCAAAGAAAGCCTCAAACAGCATCGAGGAAAAAGCTTCAAAATGGAGCTGTATGTTCTCAGCGTTGTAGAGAACAGTTTAAATGTAGTCTCAGTTAAAATGTTAATAGCTGGCTTCCTTCATTTAATATTCCCTTCTTTGTATTACTCTGATCATTTTGTCAGTATTTTCAGTCTGCATGGTGTGAAATGACTTGCTGAATCACTGCTGAGTGTTGTGGTGGGAGCAGGAGCTGACCTCGAGGGTTACTTGAGCCTCACCCATTCCTCTGGCCTGCAGGCCATCAGTGCCTGTGCCTTACATGAAGTGTTCTCATGAAATGTTGGCTGTAGAGTCAGCAGGTGGAAAAGATGCCGCTGGCAGGGCTCTTAAGGATGGACAACAGTCATACTGTTTGTCTTCAGAGACAGAGAACAAAGAAGAGTAAGCTGAGGGTGTTTGGTAAGAAGTCATTGGTGTGATTATTTTCTGCTAGCAGTTTATGGTCTCGGGGATGAGAGTCTGAGCTACTCCTGTGCATCCTCCAACCCTATTAACTGTTCTGTGTGTTGCTATCACGGGAAGTTCGTGGTTTTGCTCTCTGCAAGTGGGGAAACATTTGTTAGTAAGATTACCTGGCATGAGCAAAGCTGGGGCAGCGAGGAGGAAGAAGCTGTTTCTGTTAGACCACAGTTCACTGAAACAGCACAGGGATGCACCAGGCTTTACTATTCTTTGTAATCTCTTTGGACTCTGACTTAGTTTGGGAGGCCTGGGTGTCAAGTTTCAGAGGTTGGTGTTGAACACAGTGGCTGCCCACAGGTGACAAATGCTTGTTGCAATTGACTTGTGCTGCAAATTCCACTGGCTCTTGTTGCCTTTCTGATCCCCGTGGACGTTAGTCATAGCCTGGGTATGCTGTGGTACAACACTTGGATCTTATGGAGATGACTTTGCTCTTCTTCACAGCCTGAGGCAGTTACATGCCTGCAGCTGAATGTTGTTTGCAAGACCTGATGAAGCTGTTGTTCTTGGAGGGTACAGAAACAAGCATGAACCATGGGAATGCTAACTGGGAGTGCTTTTGTGGAGGACAACAGTCACTGAAAACAAACAAAAAATCATATACTGAGCAGGGGAGCTGTCTGGGTGGCGTGTTCTCAAGTGGCAAAATCTGGATAGTGATGGCCTGATCTGTGCCTGGGATGTGCTCTAGTGTTTGTGGTATTTAGCCACCTGTGACATATGCTTGATCCTAAGTGCAAAGCCTCTACAAACTAAAAAGCCGTAAAACCACACCAGATGCTCAAAGGTCGGGTGTGGTAAGAGACCTGCCCTCTAGAATACCTTCAGCATTTCCTGCATTTATTTTCTTCTGTGTGTATGCTGATGCTGGCATGCCATTGTCATTCAAGGGCATGTCTCACCGATTGTACATTCCTCCAGGACAGAGGAAACTGCGCTTGTTTGACTTGGGGGTGGAGATGCTGGGCGCGTGTGACGGCAGAGTGACGTGCACAGCTGCCGCCTTGGGTTTGCAGGCAGCTCTGCAGTGATGTGCCCATTTTCTCAGCCAGCTGATAAATGTGTGTAAAGCACCCGAGATCTGGGATTGCTGCAGCATCTCAAGATGAGTACTCAGTTGTGGATATGAAATAGGTGGGGCAAATCTCTTTGAAGAAAGAGGAAGCTGTGCTAGGCCATCTTGTTCATACAGTGCTTTTGCCAAGAGAGGTTCAACCAGATGATCCTTGAAGTCCCTTTGACCTGATATTCTATGGTTCTATGCTTCTATGACTCCAGCACATGTCAGGGAATCAGTGTATCAGATCACTTTTGAAGGAAGTTGTTTTCCAGAAGTTATGTATTTTATTTTTTTTTAAGAAGCATTGAAAATGGTCTATCTGGTGTACCCCATCTGGAAGTGACAGCATGTTGTATATCCATACTCCCTTATAGATGGGGAAAAATTCCCTTGGGGAGGGATCTGGACCTCATGGGACCCACTGTGTAAACCTGTGTTGTGAGTTTGTACTCGCACATGCAGTTTAGCTGAAAAAGTTGTGAAGCTCTTGTACAGGAGATGACTCTCAAGATGGTGAGGCACTATGGCATAAAGGGCAGTACAGCTGTACTTTACGGCTGCTGTAATTTTCTTTGCTTTTTCTTGGCAGTGGAGAGAGCGGTGCTGGAAAAACCGAGAGTACAAAGCTATTGTTGCAGCATATAATGAACTTATGCAAAGGCAACTCACAGCTGGAGCAGCAGATCCTTCAGGTAGGTCCTGACAGGATGGTACCTAAAGATGCAGAAGCAACACTGCTGCAAGACAGCTTGTGTTAGGCTCAGGCCTGCTGGTGAATCAGCACTGGAAGTCAGGGAACAAAACACAAGACATAAGAAAATAGTGGGTAAGGATGGCAAAATAGCTGACCACAAATTAGTAGTGTTGGTAGGTCAGCAATTCTGTTTGCTAGGAATGTAGTGATATCTTAAATGATAGAAAACTATTGCAGTCATTTATCATGTTCTCTGTGACACAGGATTAGGAGCATTTTTCCAAATAATTTCCTCTTTGAGGTGAAAGAAGGACTTTTATTAGAAAAATTAAGTCTTGATATAATGGTACTTGGGGATGGAGAATCCACACAGCTTTCAGTCACCTTTCGTTGACTACTTCTATTTACTGCCAGGCACATACCTGCTAACTGTCGTAACTTCAGCTTTAATATTTTCATATGGCTTTGCTAGGTGATTTTGAAAGATACTTGTCTCTTTGGTCTGAAGTATTTCCATTTGAATTGCTCCCCAAGGAGCTATGGTGTTTTTTGAGTAAATCAAACTTTAACCTTCCATGTGATAGATTAAGCAGAGTGTGTTCTTGGGCTACTTCATTTCAAAGTCTGTGTTTTCAGATTTCTTGCAGAGGCAGAGACGTCTTTCTCTGTGTGGTGGGTTAACTTTGGCTGGACCCCTGGTCTCCACCAAATCTCCTCTGTCGTTCTCCCCCTCCTCAAGTGGGCGGGGGAAAGAAAATATAGTGAAAGTCTCTTGGCTTAAGAACAGGGAGAGATCACTCAGCAATTGTCATCAAAGGCAAAATAGACTCAACTTGGGGGAAGAGATATATTTATTACAAATTAAATCAGAGTAGGACAATGAGAAATATAAACTAAATCTTAAAACCACCTTTTCCCCACCCATCCCTTCTTCCTGGGCTTAACTTTACTCCTGATTTTCTCTACTTCCTTCCACCAGTGGCACAGGGAGATGGGGAATGGGGCTTGTGGTCATCTCATGATACACTGACTCAGGGGAAGGACTTCTCACACTTTTCCCCTGCTCCATTGTAGGTCTCTCCCATACGAGACAATCCCAAACTTCCCTCACTTGAGTCTATCCCATAGGCTTCAGTTCTTCATGAACTGCTCCAGCATGTGTCCCTTCCATGGGGTCACAAGTCCTGCCAGCAAACCTGCTCCAGTGTGGGCTCCTCTCTCCATGGGTCCACTGGTCCTGCCAGGAGCCTGCTCCAGCCTGCACTTCCCACGTGGTCACAACCTCCTTCAGGCACCCATCTGCTCCAGTATGGGGTCCTCCACGGGCTGCAGGTGAACATCTGCTCCATTGTAGACCTCCATGGGCTGCAGGGGCACAGCCTGCCGCTCCGTGGTCTTCACCACAGGCTGCAGGGAAACTTTTGTTCTGGTACATGATGTGCCTCCTCCCCTTCCTTCTTCACTGACCTTGGTGTCTGTGCAGTTGTGTCTCTCACATGCTCTCACTCCTCTTTCCTGGCTGTTGTTGTGCAGCAGTGTTTTCCTTCTGATGTACATTATCACAGAGGCACTACTGCCATCGCTGGTAGGCTTGACCTTGGCCAGTGATAGGTCCATCTTGGAGCCATCTGGCACTTGCTCTCTCAGACATGGGGGAAGTATCTGACGTCTCACAGAAGCCACCCCGTAGCCTTGTCGCTACCAGAACCTTGCCATGAAGACCCAATGTCCTGTGCCATGCTTCGGGCTCTGGAGTGGTTTATTATTTCGGTGTGGTATCTTTCTGAGGTGAATGCCTGTGCTTTGGTGTGGGAACATGGCATTGATATACCTGTACTTCTGCTTAGAGGTGGCATGGGCCGCCCTGCCAAGTTGCTTCTGACCTGAGCAGGTTCAGGAAGGAGGATGGCTGTGTTTTCTCAGCGTAGGGCCTGGACCCAGCCTGCAATTCCTCCGCTGGAAAAAAAGTTCACTTCAGTCCAGGTAAACTGCCCTTGGAAAGCCCAGAGGTGATGGTAAAGAAGTAGTCATCTTATCTGGTTCCTGTAGACATATTCAAGGACTGAGTTTGCTCTTTTGGCATTACAGTGCCTTGCTGTAAGCTGTATTCAGCGGGCTGCCCAGCATGTACCCTAAGGCATCTTTCTTCCAGTGAGCAAGTGTTCTTTGCTCAAATATAGAAAAAAAATTGTCATTTCACTTTGTTCTCATCCAGTTTACCAAGCTGGTCTGATTGTTCTTTTAGATTCTTTATAATTAACTGTCCTGAGCCTTATGCTGTCTACAAATTTGAGTAGCTGAGTTACCATGCTTACTTTTACTGAATGCCATGTTTACCTCGTTTATTGTTACGGAGTCATAGAAACACAGAGTGGCTTGGTTTGGAAAGGACATTAAAGACCATCTAGTTCCAACCACCTTGCCATGGGCTGGGACACCTCCCACTAGACCAGGTTGCTCAAAAAGCTTTGTCCAACCTGGCCTTGAACACTTCCAGGGAGGGGACATCCACAGCTTCTCTGGGCAACCTGTGCCAGTATCTCACCACCCTCACAGTGAAGCATTTCTTTCTCATTTCTAATCTAAATCTACCTTCTTTCATTTTAGAACCATTACCTCTTGTCCTCTTGCTTCATGTCTTTGTAAAAAGTCCCTCTCCAGCTTTCTGGCAGGCCCCCTTGCAGTACTGGAAGGCTGCTGTAAGGTATCTACTGTGACGTAGTATAGCAGGCAAATTATCTAGTGGTGTTAGATAGCCATATTAGATTCGTTGTGGAAATCTGTTACACCAACCTTGTCTTACTGAGATCAGATCAGTTTGATGGTAAGTTATCTTCAGTAATCTGATGCTAGTTAGTCTTTGTTATGTTTCCTTCATTCATTTTTTTTATCCAGGGCATGATAACTGAATATGCTCTTGCATACTCGTGGAGTGCTTCATATTCCAGCTGAATGCTGAAGTTAAACTTTTCCAAGTAAACTGGACTGGAACACTTAATTGAAGAATACTTGTTCTGGTTGCTCACTTGTTTTAGGTAAATCCTTTGCTTGAAGCTTTTGGCAATGCCCAGACTGTGATGAATGACAACAGCAGCCGCTTCGGAAAATACATACAGCTGCGTTTCCAGAAAAATACAGGTAAAGTCAAGGGCGGTTACTACTGTGGGGGATGGTTTAGCACTGGAGGGAGTGGACTGAGTAGCCAGAACTTGCGGAGTGTTAAATTTTGACACCTGACTCCCTGTGGGAAGGGTGTGCAATTCAGTAAAATCTTACGGCAACTACAGCGGTAGTGTAAGGCCTGGGCTTGGGCGGTGTGTGAGTACAGGAAGGAAAAGGGGGTGACAGTGCAGGGGAAGTATCGGTAATACTCTATGGTGCCAGAAGCCTTGGTTGCTGCTGAAGGAGGTAAGCAGGCATCTCAGAGATAGTGGGAAGCACGGAGAAGCACATTTCTCAGGTGCTGGGCAGCTTAGAGGGTGCAGCACACGAGAAAGTAATTTTAGACAGTTCTATATTCCTATCACCAAATAAAAGATGCAGGACAGCTTCAAAGTTGAAGTGCAAAGTTTATCCTGTCACCTTCTTGTGTACAGTGCAAGGTGCAAAGCTGAGTGAGTACCTGTTAGAGAAGTCACGGGTAGTGCAACAAGATACTGGGGAGAGGAATTTCCATATCTTCTACTACATGTTTGCTGGACTGTCTTCAGAGGAAAAGGAGATGTATGGACTGTTGGATCCTACACTCTACAGGTATTTCGAAGGCAGACCCTAGTTTAGTCTTCATGATAGGGGTGGAAGGGAAAGCAGCATAATGAAGCCTATGCCTCTGCTCTCTGGCTCTGTGGATCCTGGTATGGGTAAACGAATAAATGGAAACTCGAATGGGGTCGGAATAGAGCTGCACGAAGAGATCTTCTGGGTCACCATGGAAGCTGGGAGGTCTGGAGTCTCTGCTGAATTACCTTGGAAAAGTTTCTTTCTCTTTTGTGTCTCTACTGCTGCTGATCTACTTTGTTCCTTTGGGATAGGACTGACTTGCTGTGCTGAGTGTGTGATGGTTTTATGTGGGATATACACTTTCTCAGGTACATAAGTGGACGATTTGGTACACAGGATGTAGCTCAGCGCTGGAAACGCAAATACCAAGAGGTGTGCAATGCCCTTGACATGGTGGGCTTCCAAGAACAGGTCAGTTTTGGGGACATTTGCTTTCCATCTGTGCTCACTGCAGGAACAGGATTTCTATCTCGCTCCTATTTTGAGGCTCAGTCCTGTTTCTCTCCTCTCTGGATTTTCCAAGCTGCTTTCAAAACGCCTGAATCTGTCAGACTTTGTGTAGAGTCTTCTCACAGGCTGCCAGTTCCTTTCCCTCACCTCTCGAATTTTTGGGGCCTCTGTCCTGTTGCGTGCTGATAGGTTTTCAGCCACCTTTCTTTTGTGTTTTAGGAGCAAGTGGACATGCAGGCTATCTTGGCTGGTGTGTTGTCTCTGGGCAATGTGACCTTTGAGTCTGAGGAGACCAATGGTTCAGTAAAAGTGCGTGAAGCCTCCCAGGGATGGCTGAAGGCTGCAGCGGTGAGTCATAGGAAGAACTGACAGAAATCTTAGGGGTATGATACTGGTTCCTGCTGGCTGTGTGACTGCAGGAGCTGCTTCTGCCAGAGATGGCAGAGGACATTTCTGCGTCAGAGCGAGAATGCTCCTGAAAAACAAGGATTTTTTTCCAGAAATGCATGGTGTGACCTCATGACCTCAGTTGTGTTCACTGCTGTTCCTTCCCAAAGAGACACTTCCCAGCTTCTATTTCTTGTGTGTCTGGAACCGTTGTCTTGCCTATGATGATATCATGTGCTATGTTGACTTCATACAATACAAGCTTTTTAAAATTACATGTTATGTGTTACTAAATGTGATGATGCCTTAGCGCAATTCACATGTGCAGTATTTGAACACTAGTTCTGTATTTTCAACAGATCTTGTCCAAGGTAACCTCCTAAACTGCTATCAGCTTTTCCTGGTTATCCAAAATTAAACTTTCTATTATTTCACATGAAATTATCACAGATTAAGAAGTACATACTCCCCAGGACTTTCTCATTTTTTATTATGTGGGATGAATATGTTATTCTACTTTGTTAACAGCACAGAACAAAAAAAACATAACATATTTGAAATTTGAAATCCTAGCCCCACTGTTCTTTTATTTAATTCTGATCTCTCTGCCTGTTTTTCTCCTACACCATACCTGAAACAACCAGCTGTATCTGTTCAGCAGCCAACTTCTTGTTGTCTTACTTCTTGAAGTTTGCTTCTTGTTTTGTGCCCACGGGAGGGAAATTCCTGCTAGAGTAATCACTGAGGGGTTCAGTGGTGTTTTGAGTTCCTTTGTTTCCTGTCTCTTGTGGGTTCGGGTTCTGCTGAAGCTCAGACATCTCAACACCTGCACAGTCACCTCCGTGTGGTGCTGTTCCATAAGTCATTAAAGCACTCAGCAGGGACTGGCGTGGTGCCCAGAGAGGGTGAGAGGTGGCAGCACTGGGAAAGCAAAACATAAAGTGGTTCAGAGAGAGCGCAAGAATGAGCTTGCTCACTGCAGAGATAATGCAGATCTCGGAACACACATCTGACTCCAGTCCTGCGAGTTTTTAACAGCAATACTTATCTTACAGTGGCGCTCAAGGGCCTTGCTCTGAATCATGACCCCATTACACTGTGTGTTACACGGATGCAAGGAGATACAATTGCCATAAGTAGAGTAAAGGTTTACTATTGACTGTCTCAATCCATTTCCTCTCTCCCAGGGTCAGTTCGGAGTCCAAGAAGATGAACTATTAAAATGCCTGATTTGTACAATGTCGGTGACCCGAGGTGAGCAGATTCAGCGTTTTCACACCCAGCAGCAGGCAGAAGGTAAGAAACATAATGAACTGCAGATGTGCTAGCCAGAAAGACTGACCCATATTTGAGGCAAGGGTGTCCCCACAACACATGCAGCTTGTTAGGAACAAAGATGTCTGTTTGTGCCCCTTCATTCCTCTCACACAGAGGCAAGTATATCAATGTTTATCTGTTTAGTCTCTTACTGACACACAGGACCATGAATGCTGCTTTTGTTTGATCTCCAGGATAGTGCAGAGATTAAGTGAGAAACCAAGGAACTGGCCTTGCTTTCTCCCTCTGTCCAGCCTAGAAGGAAACTAGGTATTTGTACAAAAAGGGAGAAGGCTCCTGTTGCAGAGTGCTGGCATTGTGCAGAGCTCTAAATAGTAGGTGGTGAAATAACTTAAAAGAGTCAATGCGAGGGCAAGGTATCAGGGAAGGAGGGAGATGAAAAGGAAGTATATTAAAGTAGCAAGCACTAGGTGGTGTTTTCCCCTTCAATAAGAAGAGAAAATAATCCAAAATAATCTGCAAAATAAGAGTAGGTTAAAATAAGAGTTTTAAAAAGTAAATTTAAAGATCATAAATTTCAGGATTACTGCCTAAAATATGTGAAAGAAAAAAAAACTGAAAATGGGGAATTAGCTAGATCTGTTTCCCAAATGTCTTCTCATGCATCTCTCTAGACAGTATTTTATTGTTGATTTGGTCTCTTTCTTAGAATGTCAGCAAGTTTTCCATCAATTGCATTCTTCTCTTGCCCACAGCATTTAAAAACTTGGCAGCTGTGGGCTAGGAGGAACCAAACCATTGAATTTTCCAAGTACAGCTTGAAGCCTCTTGCTTGGTTTAGCAGTGAAGGGTTCTATACTCAGTAGACGTACAGATGGGGAAGACAAGTGTCTGAGTATTCTTAAAAGTGGCTGTACTTTTTCAGAAGTTACTTTTTTTTTTATTTTAGATGTTCTCATAACTGCCCTAGTATGCCATATCTGATCTTGTAGAAAGACAGTGAAGATTTTGCAATGAAAGAGTTCTGAGTGAGCGTGCAGAGGGCATGTACCATCAAACAGATATCTGATGTTCATCTCAACTTTAAAATAGCTTCATAAACCACTAACCATTGTTGCTAGTGGTGAATGTTTTGAGCCAGCTTGTGTGCTGTGTTCCCTGCCCTCCTTGGAGCCCTTCAGCAAGCTGCTGTTGTTCTCTCTGTACAGATGCTCGGGACTCCATTGCAAAGGTAGCGTACAGCCGAGTATTTGACTGGATCGTTTGCAAGATCAATGAGCTGCTGGCCGAGAACGTGGATCCTGAGGTGGAATTGAGGGAGATAGGTGAGTTCTACCTGCCTTGCTCCTCCTCTGTCCCCAACTGTGCATCCCTTCACTGCAGCGAAGGAAAGGTGCAATATGCGTTTTTGCAGAGATTGTGTGCAGGGTTCCCTTGCAAAGACATGATCATGTTGGAGATACTAGTCAGCAGCCTGAAGTCTACAGGGTCTTGGCCAGCACTTGTTCGGAAGCAACTGTGGGGCTGTAGTTCCGGGATACTCTGGCTTTGCAGAGGAGCCAGAGGTGATAGGAGGCTTCTCCTCAGTAGCTCTCCAAGGGGAGTTAGGGAAGAGTTGATGGGGTTTTCCTGTGTCACAAGGGCTGGGTGATGGGATATTTAGTTGTGCATTGGGGTATGCAGCTATCTGCAGTGATGGTCTGCAGGCTCCTTGAGGTTCTCATCTTTCCTCTTTCAGGTATCTTGGATATATTTGGGTTTGAAAACTTTGCAGTGAATCGTTTCGAACAGCTTTGCATAAACTTGGCCAATGAACAGCTGCAGCACTTCTTCAACCATGTAAGTCTGCTGTGGATTATCTCACCTTGAGTGGCAGAGACAGCAGAGCACTGATCTGCCTGGCATAAAAAGGACAGCTTTGGGAAAAACAGGTCTGTTGCCTGGAGGGACAGAATTGGTAATTAGTGAAGCACGGTGGAGAGCAGCTACCTTCTTTGCTGTGGCAGGGGAGCCGCTGAGGCAGGGAAGAAAGGAGTGGAAGTGTCAAGCAATGACCAAAGTTGGCAAAGCAGGGATATATGCACTCTGAAAAGTGCTCCTGCTTTATCCACGGGCATCAGTGAGTGACAGGCTTATGGAGGAGCGTGCAGACCAGCAGTTTCATCTTGGGCCTCTGATGCCGTGGGTGAAAGAGCCACACCTCTGTTCTCTGTTCAAGGTGGAAAGGAAGATGTTCAGGGATACTCCAACCTCTTTTTATTTTTTTCTCTGTTTCAGCACATTTTCCAGCTGGAGCAAGCTGCCTATAAGGAGGAAGAGCTGCCTTGGGAGACTATCACATTCAAAAATAATGAACCTATTCTGGTGAGTGAGATGACTGACAGAAGAGAATTGCTACATCCAGCCAAGAGAGGGGTCTTGCTCTTTCTGTCATGGGGAGGAGATGCACCTGGAAAAAAACCTCTTGAAGTGTGATGTAGGTGAGAGTGGATGCCTTCTACTGCTTTAGATAGGTGTAATGTGTCTCTTTTTCCTTCAGAATCTGCTACTGGCTAAGCCACTTGGGCTCCTGTCTCTTCTGGATGAGCAGAGTGCGTTCCCTCAGGTATGCATGAGGCAGGAGACAGAAAAAATAGTGTGGGGGAATGTAATAGTAGATATCTAGGCTGCAGAAGGAGCTTTTATTTTGAATTGCGACTTTAAAGAACAGCATGAACAGAAGCATTCCATGTGTGACTGATGAGTCAGGACAGACAGATCAAGGACAGTCTAATGATATTGGCGTCACTCTGGAGAGTTAGAGAGGCAGTATGATATGAAACCATCGCATAGCCAAGCCACTTCCAGCACTTTGTTCCAGCACTTTGCTTCCATGTGTCCTGGTTAGGTCTGTGCCTTATTGTTTGATTATGAATTCTACTTTCTTACAGGCAACTGATAAGACATTTGTGGATAAACTAAACAGCAGCTTCAAGGGGAATTTGCACTTCCAGCAAGGCCGAGGCTGTGTCTTGGGCTTCAGCATCATTCACTATGCTGGGAAAGTACGTACTGCTTACAGAAACAATGATGGTGTAACATAGATAGGAGAGGGCAAATGCGTTCCTTGACAAATAAAGCTTTGATGTTGAGGAGTGTGTGGTCTGATGATGATAATAATAGAAGTGATGTGCCCAGGGAGCTGTCTCTTAGAATTCTCTGGGTTTTCTGTAGAAGGTATAGGAAGAGAGGACCTCTGAGGAAAATGAGGCTGCCTCTGGGAAGCATAGGTTGTTAGAAGAATCTGCTATACTCATCATCTGTCTGTTGGAGTTCTAGTCTTAAAATAGTTCATTATAAAATAAAAGCCCTGCATCTGCTCTGCAGCACCAAAGGACAGTGGAGTGACCTTTACCTATTGGGTTCCAGAGCATAGCAATCATTGTTTTATTGCAAACACTGAGGAACACAGTGAGAGAAGCCAGGTGGAGGCACTTAGTTATACATTCAGTGGTATCTAAGCAGCTTGAAGTTTAGAACCACTGCATGTAACCTTACTGCCACCAATTTTGAAAGCATTGGCCCAAATACGTTGAGTTGACTGGAGATAATTTTTGGAGGAGTCTAATGTCACCACTGTTGTGTAAGTTATTACCTGGGCCACTCTTTATTACAATAATTAACACCTAACATAGAAAGAAGAGTGTCAGGCTAGAGACAAGAAAGGAAAGAAGAAAGAGAAATGAGGGGTTATATGACAACAGAGTGGAAGCCTATTCAGAGGGAAAAGGAGGAGAACAAGTAAAAGAGTGAAGCATAAACCAAAAGTAAATGGAACTTTATAATCAAGGAAAGGAGAACAAGTACAGTAGGATGTCTCAGTGTTGTGCTGCACTCCTGTGGTTCTAATTTGTGGGTGCCATCCCTGGGATTTTGTTCCTCAGGATTTGCATCTGACTGGGGTGCATGTGCACTTGCAGAATTCACATGCAAGACAGCATTCGTTCAGTTCAAGAGTTGCTCCTGGCAAGCTGTGGAAGTGACATCCCTGGGAAGCCCGTGAGCACTGCCAGCCTTAGCAACTTGCTGCCCTTTCCCCTAGGTGCAATATACTGCTGGGGGCTTTCTAGAGAAGAACAGAGACACCTTGCCAGCCAACGTCCGCGGGCTCTTCATCAACAGCATCACCCCCTTGCTCAGTGTGCTGTTCACAGGCAAGTCCCTCTGCTAAGCTATCTGTGCTTCTTTCTGCATTGTTAGATGCCCATTGATGGTGTTTCTTCTGAAGGTCATTCAAGGTCATTCAATAACCTGATTGCCTTGTCTTCCCAGTGGCAGAAAATAGTATTGCCCGCTTCATACATTTTCATTTTTTTCTCTCTTTTATTAGCTCTTTCCTTGTATTTCCACATAGTGAAACCTAACACCCTGTCTGTGATTCAGTATTTTTAAGGAGACTTGTGTGTGATGTGAGGTTTGAATGCTTAGAAGTGGTTAATTGTGAGTAAAAGTACAAAATTAACTACTGTCTCTCTTCTTCCAGCTACTATCTCCAGGACAGGGACACTGATGCCTCATGTGAAAGCCAAGGTATTTCACTTCAGGTCCAATTGAAAAATATCAGCTTCTATGCCAATAGAACCTGATATTTATTATTTGAGTAACTGTCTGAAAATGAAAGTGAGCAGAAATTGGTTTAAAACAAATGCAGACAGTAACCTGCTTGCAACAATTTCTCATCTGTTTTTTAATGGATTTTCTACTTGCTCCTGTTGATATGTTTAACTTGTCTTCCCTTCCCTAATATCCTTTCTCTCTCCTTTTTGCCACCTGCCTTCCACTGGAGCCCTTTCGATGGCCATCAAACACTTCTACCAGCGGTGATCTTTAGTTTGGGTCTGGTTTTTAGGTCATACCAACAGCAGACGACAAGTTCAACAGCACACGAAAACAATCTGCTGGAGCGCAGTTCCGGGTAAAGTATTGCTGCCCTGCAGTGCCCCTTGAGATGAGTGTAGTGGTGTTTTAGTGAGAGCTTCCAGGCTGCTAACCATAGTTAAAGCATCCAGCATGTAGACAAGGATTTTTCTGGGTGACAGGCACAGCTGGTTATGGTGGAAATGACCTGATAATTTTCAGAGCCTTGGGAGTTGCTGTGGGGTGGGAAAACAGTTCTCGCTGCAGGATCTTGCATGCTGGGCTCTGACAGGGCTTTGGCTTGCTGGATTGTTGATCTTGCTCTGCCCTCGCCAGCATTCCCTGATGGTGCTCATGGAGAGGATGTACTCTGCCAACCCTCACTTCGTGCGCTGTATAAAGCCCAACAGCCAGAAGGAGCCAGGTGTGGTGGACAGCCAGGTGGTCCTACAGCAGGTGAGGAAAAATCATGTCCTTTACAGGTACTTCTGCCACGTCTCAGCAGGAAGAGCAACCCCCCCCAAAAAGGCTGTGGAGATAGCAACAGAACATGTAGGCACACTTTTTATGCATGCAAAAGTTCTGGGTACTTGGTTTTGTAACATGGACTGCTAGGTCCAGGTTTTGCAATATTAGTTCCCTCCCATTTGTTTTTCATGAATGCAGTGAGATCTGCTTGTCAGGCACTAGGATTCATCTTTGCATCTCCTGGATGGGGACTGGTATAGAGAGTACTCCAGAAAAAATAGTGCTTCCCGGAGTTAGACTGTGCTCACCCATCAGCCAGGGCAACTCTGTATAGGAGCCAGGATGGATTCACTTTCATAAGAGCTGAAATGTGCTGATAAAACTGTCTTTGGATATTGTGTCAGGTCTTATATCCAGATGTTTTAAAGAATACTGGAAATGATTAGAAGAGTTCAGAAAATTCTGTGGCCTGCTTAATGTGTATAAGAAAGGATAGGATTAAGAGGGAAGTTCATCCATGCCTCAGAGTACTTTTTTTGTCCAGATTTGGAAGTAAAATGCTGTCCTCTAAGGGACAGATGCAAAGCAGTACCCATGGCTGGAAGGTGAAGTTATTTCGGTCATGTTTTTTTATGGTTTCCAACTTCTAACTGAGAGTGCTTAATCATCAGAGTTACAAGATGTGGTAAATTCAGACTTTAACCAAGGAAACATTTTCACAAGGAAACTTTTTCATTCTGAACTAGAGGATTTTAAGGCTGAATGAAGGCATTTTTGGCTGCAGGGGAACAAGCTCATGTCATTAATGACCTGTTTCTTTTTGTTTCTCGAACCAATCTTTGTGGTGCTGCCTCAGCTCCGGTACAATGGGCTGCTGGAGACAATCCGTATCCGAAGAGATGGTTTCTCTTGGAGACCCTCATTTGAGGAATTTGCTGAAAGGTTTGTTAAAACCTCTGAATGGTCCTTGCTAGATATTGTTAGGGAAGTGACCCTGGTAACCAGAGATGGGCAAGAAGTGAAACAGCATTTTTAAAGTTCACATGGCTGAGATCATGGGGTTGTTTGCTGTGGGAGGCTGAGTGGGAAAGACAGTGATTTATTGTTGTTTGCTCTGAGAGTGACATGGATCTGCTCAGCACATCAAAGATGTGCCTCTTACCTTGCTGTATTTGTTTGTTTTTCACAGATACGGAATTCTTCTAGTTAAACCAGATGTTTCACTCACAAAAGAAAGGTAGGATGCCTTTATTATGTGCAGTCCAGTTTGTTCTTCAGAGACTTTTGCTCTCAGGGTAACATAGCAAACTGAGTAAAAGGACCAAAGTGAGGATGGGATTTGGTCTTAACAGGGAACAAATTCCCAGACAAAGACAATATTTAAAAAGCATTTGGTACAACAACAAATGAAATCTTTTCCTGGATTACTGTGTAGCAATTCTGTTCATAAAGCCGTGCTATCCTGTGGAATGAGAACTGAGTAATTGTCGCAGGTTAGGGCTGGGCCGGCTACTAACACGGACAGATGCTCTCTAACCCCCTCTTCCTTCCCCAAATGGGAAGGAAAAGGGAATGAAGCAGAGAGACTTTCGGGTTAGAGAAGAAAAAAAACTAGAAAAGCTTTAATGAAACAATAATAGAAATAATAGTGGAATGATAAAAGTAAAGAACTACATACAACTGTAGATAGTAGCCCAGTATCAAACCCGACTCCCTCCCCCGCTATCAATCCCCACTGATGCTGCAGAGCAGGAGGCCCTGGGGCAGCCCCAGGCTCAGCGGCGGCGGCGGGGGGCTGGCGGCGGCGGCGGGGAGCTGGATACAGGATTTGGGAACTCAGGATCCGGATCAAAAGCAGGAGGTCAGATGGAGTCCTCCCTGGACACTGGCCAGTGCAGGAAAAAGGGACGAAACTCTCGTGATCACTCAATTTATACTAAATATGACGTATATGGGATGGAATACTCTCATTGGTCACCTGTCCTGCCTATTATCCCCCGGAGGTGCAACATTTTACTTCCTTGTGACCCCTCTTACTACCCAGCACCCCCAGCGTGGCACACAAGAGCCAGCACTGGCCTTGGTCACTGTAGGAATAAGTATCAGCAAGAGCCTGTCTGCATCCCAGTGCCAGGCAGTAACTGTGAACATCAGGTGTTATCACTGCCAGTAGCACACACTGTCTGCAAAAACATGCTGCCGGCCTCAGAACGTGCAGACTTTTAGAAGAGACTAAACTGGAAAGTAAAAATCACTAAACAGGACTGGGTTTTTAGCTAAACCCAGGACATTCTACCCCTTATTCCATACTATTTGCATCATATTGATCACAAGCTAATGATCTATGTAGAGGAAAAGTGCATTAAGTTCAGGATCGTGGATTCCATCCATCATAGCAGTCTCTCAGGGCAGGAAAGTTTAGGGAGGCACAATAATGGTGAAGGGTATCCACTGAACTCAGTATCATAGGGCAGCAATTCCCCACCTCTTCTTTTGCACTTGCTATGATTGGTTGTGATTAATAATGAGAATGAAACATGTAGGACACCCAGCCAGCAGAATTTTATTTTTTTTTACCTTCTAAGAAAAGGATTTGAATGTTCTCCTGGAGGAGTTTTCTCCTGACAGTTGCTCCTCGAGCCTTCGCAGAGCTTCTGTGAAGTTACTGGTGATATTGAATTGATAAGAATTGCAAAACCAGTTGAGATCCAAGTCAAGAGAGAATCTCATGGATGAGAGAAAGGTGATGGTAGACAGGCATGCCGTGTTTTCAGATACAAAAATCGTACAATGCTTCTGAGAAAACAATTACCTTGGATATAAATTCTGGCACAATGGAAGTTGGCTGAGATAGAAGGAAAAACACTTCAGCTTTGCTTTGTGAAATATTAGCAAGAAGTGTCAATGTGGTTTCACAGCCTGGATTTGCAGGCAGACCTAGGAAGCTGGCTGCATGGTGCAGCTACAGTATTACTTTCAGTTCCAAGTGCTGATAAATCTTTCTGAGTGACCCAAGTTTTATTGCTAGAGTCTGCAAAATGAAACTGGAATTGGAAAACAGGCTTTCTCCCGGAAGTCTTGCTGTAAGCAATCTGTGTGCTCCAAAGAGCTTGGAAATGAAATGAGGAAGAACAGTTCTGAGAATAAAATAGGCTCTGCAGAATTGCCTCCTAGGGATTTGAAGGAGATCTGCCTCTGGGAACCCCTCTGCTGATGCTCCAGATCCTAGCGGTACCTCAAGGAACACTACAGATTGACAGTCATTTACTGAATGTGATCAGATGACAGAAGACAGAGAGTATAATGCAGAATCATTGAGGCACTGTATTCCCCTTTATGCACCTAAACCACTGGCTGCATGGTGTTTAGCTTGGGTAGAAAATGGTTTATTTCACTTTTTTCCTCTCTTTCAGCTGCTTGGAGATACTGCGAAGTATAGAGCTGACAGGCTGGATATGTGGGTAGGTGTGGATCATGTTGCTGTAATGGGTGGCCTGAACTGCAGGGACTGTTATCTGGTTCTCTTTGGGGAAAACTTTATGGCTGTAGGAAAGGCCTCTCCAAAGGCTGCTGGGTGCAAGTTTAGACAAATAGTGTTTCTCATGGCTTCTTTCTTTTCCCAACTTCACAGAAAGTCACGACTGTTCTTTAAATATTGGCACCAGGAACAGCTGGCAAAGTATGTGGAGCAACTGGAAAAAGCAGCAGTTGTCATACAGAAAGGTGAGCACTGGGGCAGGAGGGTCCCTGAACTCTGATCTCAGATCAAGGCAAGGAAAGGCTTTTATCCAGTCCCTGCTCCACTGTTGCACCTTTGCAGATGACAAAAAGGCGGGCCAGGTGCCGTTTCCATGTCAAGGCCCCGTGGAGTCAGAGTGCTTACTGCAGAAGCCCACCTCCTCAGTGCTCATCCTCAGTCGGGGAGAGCCATCAGACAGCATGAGCCTTGCCAAGGGAAGGCGTGTGTGCAGAACTGAGCTGAGCCAGCCAAGCATATGATTTGGCTGCATCCCGAGATCTGGCCAGCTGTCTTCTGGAGCAAGGGCTTGTTTATGAGTGATGTTGAACTGAGGAGCAGGAAAAGATCAGTGAAGCAGATCTCATCCCTACTTTCAGAGAAGAGGCGGAAATTTTGTTTTGGTGTGGGTTTTTTTTTCATTTTCATTCCAGGTAGGATCTGCTCTGGCAGCCTGTCTCTCCAGAGCTGGCGCTGTGCACAGTTTGTCACGTCTCTCTGCACGGGTTCTGTGAGGACTGTACAGCCAGGAGGAGGAGGCAGAGGCTGTCACCCTGCCTGGTCACTCTCTGTTGTACTTCTCTTCTACATGGGTTGTCGCACTGCTGAAGCATCGGAGCTGCTTTCAGCTATGCACCACACAGTATAACAAACATCACACTGTCACATGTTATGTCTTGTTCTCATCCATGGGGAAGATGTGTGGGTAGTGGAAAATGAGAGAATGAGACTTTCAGTTCATGTGCTTTAGTACCTAGTAGAGTAGGCAAGATAATGCAATGTCTGTGATGCTCCTGATGAACCCTGTGATGGATGTTGATGGGAAAGGTTTCCCTATGGGCTGCAAATCCTGCAGCAAATCCTGTCTTCTTCACAGTGCCTAAAAGGCACCAGGAAGATAGGTGGTTAAGAGAGGACTTTCTGTGAGACTTTGTTTTTTAGATATTGTCCTGGTTTGGGATGAGATAGAGTTAATTCTCTTCCTAGTAGTTGTACAGTGCTGTGTTTTGGATTTACTGTGAGAATAATGTTGATAATACACTGACTGTTTAGTTGTTGCTAAGTGGCACTTGCCCTAAGTTGAGGATTTTTCAGTTTCCTATGCTCTGCCAGCGAGCAGGTGCACAAGAAGCTGAGAGGGAGCATGGCCAGGAGAGCTGACCTGAACTAGCCAAAGGGATATTCCATACCGTGGAGTGTCGTGCTCAGTATCTAACCTGGGGGGAGTTGGCAGGGCAGGACAGATCACTGCTAGGGCATCACTCAGTGAGTGGGGAGAAACTGCATTGTGCATCACTTGTCATTTCCTGGGTTTTATTTCTCTCTCTCTTTTTGCTATATTGATTTTCATTACAATTATAATCATTATAATTATCTTTTATTTTTATTTTATGTTATTTTAGTTATTAAACTATTCTTAACTCGTGAGTTTTACCTTTTTTTCAACTCTCCTCCCCACCCCCTTGGGCAGAGGGAAGGAGTGAGTGAGCAGCTGCATGGTGCCTAATTGCCAGCTGTGGTTAAACCACAACAGGTATTCAGCATTAGAAATGAGAGCTGTAACTTCATTTTTTTAAAATCAATGTTCTGGCAGCTTAGAGAGTAGAAGGCAATTCTCTTGTGGTTTTGAGTAGAGTTTGCATTGCTCTTTGCTAATGTGATTCAGGTGTTGAAGGCTTTGCACTGCGTGAAGAAATATCACCCAGTGTTTCCTCAAGGGTGTGACAAAGGTATGAACGGCATTACTTTTTTTCTAACCACAGCTTTTTTTCTAAACAGTTTTCAGGGGATTCAGATGCAGGAAGACTTTCCTAAAAATGGTGGCTGAGTTGAGAGCTCGGGCACAGGCACTACAGGAGGAGGCAAAGAGAGAAAGAAGCCGGCAGCTGGCAGTGGAAGCAGAGGCCCAGAGTGAGTTGATTCCACTGCCCCCGTGCATGGCCACTTGTGCAATGGTGACCTTGAGGTGCAGTAAGATCCAGGTGATGATGGCCTACCCTCAGCTTTGCTGGGGCTGGTGTCTCCATTGGTGCAGCGGACAGAGAGGTGCCAACATTTCTGCAATTTGAAAGCGTGGCTTTCTCTGTGGAGAGCAGAAACAGCGTGGTGAAGGTCATTTGGCTGGCTGTGCTGAAAGGATGCCACACTATGTCTTTCTCACATAGGCCGTGCAGCAGAACCTGTCCCTATTCTGGGCATGTGAAGAATGGATCTCGTGGATCTTGGATGCTAAATTTCATCTACTTTCTTCTTGTTGCAGAAAGAAACTCCCATCCAGTCCCCATGCCACGGAAGAGGCGCCCTCAGCCCTGTCCCCATCCTCCTGGTAAACCTCCACAGCCACCAGTGCCACGACCACGCAGCAAGCTGACAGAGGTAGTGATACTGGGTCTGCTTGGGACTCTTTAGCCATGTGTGCTGGTTTCCTACTCCTTCTAACTTCTGCATGCACATATTCTCCTGCATATGTCCCAAGAGAACATTGTCATTCTTGTTATGAGAAGTGAAAAAGTCCTTTCCTGCTGTGGTTAGTTAAAAAGCATGGTCAGGACCTTTGAGGAACTGAAAGCAACATTTGATAGTTTGCAACTTGTCTTAAGGGTCTCAGGAATGAGATCACTGCTAAAGCGATCCCTTCAAAGGTCCCTGCCTTTCATGGCTGCTTTCCCTCCTCTCTCCAACTTTCAGTCCACACCTTTCGATAACTTCTTGGACCCTTCTGCGCCTCGCCCTGTTCTGGGGACAGAGGAACACACTGGTGAAAATGCAAAAATGCAGAAACTCAAGAGAGGAGCAACTCTCCGCTGGTTCAAAGAGACGCAGGCCCAGAAGGTCATGCAGGATGATGGGGCCTTTCCAAGCTGGCTGCATGGGATGATCAGTCGGAGGTGAGTACGCTGGACACAGTGGCCACAGTTTGGGCTGTCGTAGGAAGGCAGAAGCTGCTCTGTACTTAGGAGGACTGCATAGCTTGGATTTGCCTCCTTAAGGAATGGGAATGACCTGCATAACCTTTCACTTTTATGCTGTGAGCTTCAAACTCTTAGGGGAAGCTTGGAGCTCCCTGTCGCAGAATGCAAATGCTGTAGTGTTATGTGGGTCTCAGTAAAAGACTGTGGAAACTCTTAGGAAATAAGTCCACTGTGGGATTCATAAATACAGATCCTGTGCAGGGAAGGAAGGCTTGGAAAGTACTTGAAGAGGAAACACACACATGCTTTTACCCTGTTGTGGCCAGTTTGCGGAGACACAATATGAAATGAAAGCAGATTTTTGGTCTGATGCATTATGACTGTTCTCTTATCTCTCCATTTCAGTCAGGAAGAGACCTTAGTTCACAGTAAGAGAATACAGAATTCAGTGTACATTTATTTTAAAAAGTATGAAGAGAGGCTTTAGTGAGTGCATGATAGCAAGATTCCCCCAAAGCCCACAGATACGGGAAGAGGGTTTTTGTTGATACCTCTGCCCATCTAAGGATTAGGTGTAGAATAGCCTTTAGGCTGGGAGAGACATCCACAAAGCCTTACTGTCTTGTACAGTTGTTTAAAAGACTGTGAACTCTCAAGCTTTTGGAGGAAAAGCTTTCTTTAAATGCTTGAAATTTTGCTAGTGGGTATGCTTCCCACTTCTCTCTCTTGACTGAGTGAAGCACTGCTTTCCAAGTAGAGTGATGAATGGAGAAACGATGATTGTGTCAGTGATCAAAAAGGAGCACGATAGTGACATTTAAAGGTAGACATCAGAATTTCTGGCTGTAGTCTCCCTTATGTCCAGATTAATCTATAATGCTGTGTGCTAACTGCCAGTGCCCCTTATTTAGTGGGACTTGTGTGTGGGCACTGCTGCCAGCCATGCCTGTTCCTGGATTTTGTCAGTTTTATCAGTGTGAACATTACTCAGAGACATTATACAACATGTTAGCTTAGTAAAGGACACTACAATAGGTGACAACTCCCTGGTAGCTGCTTTTTTTTTTTTTTTTTTTTATTAAGATGATTAGTAAGACCTCCACCTGCATTAATGCTTTTGGCCACAGATCCAAGGACATAGGAGAGGCACCAGCATCTGCAGGACAAAAGTATCTGAACTCAAATATAGGCTAGCCATGAGCACCTCACAATGAAAGGCATAGCAGATCCTTCCCAAAGACACTGAAGATTAGAAATTTTTGAAGTAGTGCTTTCTGTTGCTGGATTCAAATCTCCGTACAGCAGTGTAAGCTCAGCCTCATGTAACAGCAGACAGAGCAATCCCAGACTGCACTCGTGATTTGAAGTCACCTTTATCCTGGAGCAAGGCACATGACAAGCACAAAACTTGCTTTGTCTGTTGAGCAGAGAAGGAAAGCTTCCTTCCAGCAGGAAGTTTAGAGAGCTGGACGGATGTAATCCAATTTGGTGCTTTTCCAAGGTGCTGGGCTTTCCTTGTGCAAAGCACCACTACCCCACAGCATCCTGACTTCTTCCATCAACCCTGGAGTGTAAGAAATGCGTATTTGCACAGCCTCATCACCTCAACGTGCTTTATAAAGTGTTCTGTGCAGGAAGGTAGCTGTTGCTATTGTGTTAGTCAGACCACAGGAGCAGGTTTGGAGCAGCTCTGCTTGGAGAGTTTTTGGGCCAGTGTTATGCCTCCAGAGTCTGTTAATGCCTCCCTGCACCAGCAAGCCCAAGTGTGGGAACCTCTAGCTAGGAACACGTGGGGCAGATGTTGGCCTTCTCCCTGTGGACTTGGAGCACTACCATGGAGCATGTGGTATAGGATAGGAATCCCTGCACACAGACAGATGCTCACTGTCTGCTGAAAAACTCTTTCCTGCTTCCAGGGAAGCTGAAAACTTGCTGATTGACAAGCCTTTGGGTTGCTTCCTTATTCGAATCAGCCAGAGCCGACCAGGCTACACCCTGACATACCGGTAAGTAATGAACCTTGCATAGAAGGCTCAGAGAAGACCTTACCACTCTCTAGTACTACCTGAAAGGGGGTTGTAGTGAGGTGGGAGTTGGTCTCTTCTCCCAAGTGACATGCAATAGGACAAGAGCAAATGGGTTCGAGTTGTGCCAGCGGAGGTTTAGATTGGGTATTAGGAAAAGTTTCTTCACCAAAAGGTGAAGCATTGGAGCAGGCTGCCCAGGAAACTAGTGGAGTTACCTTCCCCAAAAGTATTTAAAAAACACGTAGATGTGGTGCTTAGGGATATGATTTAGTGATGGACCAGGCATTGCCCTATTAATGGTTGGACTTGATGATATCAAAGGTCTTTGCAACCTAAACAATTCTATGATTCTGTGAAACTGAGCTATGCATGGCTAGAGGAGTCCAGTGAGGATGATGCTCAGTCTCTGCTGTTGTGGGTGCCTCAGACAGTTTGTAGTATCAGTCAGGACACTGTGGAGTCTGTCTCTTCCCAAGACCTAAATGTGTTTGTGTGTGGGGTGCTGTGGCTCCAAGGGCAGAGGTCGTGCTTAGGCCATGCTGTATGGCTGCGTGGGCAAACCAGGTTGGAAGAAGCATTGACTGAAGCAGAGGAGATGAATCTAGAAGGAGGATCTGAGGAGAAGCAGTCAGAATACTACAACGACATGGTGTTTGTACAGCCTCAGGCACAGGGCAGGACAGAGTTTAAATGTTGACTACAGGCGTGGGAGCCAATACAGTCTGTTGGGGTTTGAATCCAGATGCTGGGGTTCTCTTGTCACTGGCTTTGGGGATATAACTGCTCCTTCAGCATTTATTAGCATGGTGTGGGACGCTCCAGTGTAGCACATCTCCGTCATCTTTGTGAAATTCGTTTCAGATCGCATCTGGCCTCTTGAGACAACAAGTACAGAAAGCAATGACTGGGTCCTTGAGAGATGTTGCAGCCCCATGATTTGACTATTTCTGTCTGTCCGTCTTCCCAGAGGTGAAGGCCGCTGCAGACACTATATGATCCAGATGCAGCCCAACGCACGCTATGTCATCCTGGGAGAAGACCGGGCTCACGCCTCACTTACCGAACTGGTTCGCTATCACCAGACTGTGGGCATCCAGCCTTTCATGGAGAAACTGACTGTTCCCTGTGGGCAGGTGAATGTCGAGGATCTGCAGACGGAAAAGGGGATGGAGTGTGGACTGTGCTCTGAGTGGACAGAGTCACTCTGGCAGCATCTCTTTTTTTGTGTTGCTGCTTGGGGTGATCCATTCTGGCCAAGCAGCATGGTCTCTTCTGCGTGCACTGAGAAACACTACTAGATGCACACTAGGGAGGGCTGGGGGAGAGGCCCTGGCAGGTGGATGACCCCTCAATGTCAGAAGTGGGCACAGCTGGGTATTCCTGTTCATTATGCTGATTAGGGTGTGTGGAAGATCTGCTGGCCACTGCTGAATCCACTCTTCTCTTCTGCAGAAAAGTGAGTGTTTGGATTACAAAGATCTGGAGTGCCTCACACTGAGCCTGCCAACAGCCGGTGGGGAGATCACTCCAGAGGAGCAACCCTGCCACTCCAGGCCTTCCACCAGAAAAGCTGCTCCTCAGTCAGGAACAGCCGCGGTTCTCAGAAGCGTGTGGTTCAGAAGGAGCAAGAATTGCCAAAACCAAGAGAGCCTGGACAAGAGTAAGACAACGGGAAGCTCAGTCAAGGAGAAAGACAACCAACGAGCCTTCCCTCGCCTCCACTCTTCCATACGCCTGGCAATACAGGAAATCCAGCAGGTGAGCTGGGACATATCCTCTGCCAAGCCTTGCCACCCATGGCCACTCTGCGATACATGGAGCTGCCCTACCCAGGGGCAGGAGAGAGGAGGCTTCCACAAGTAGCACTTTCTTAGCTTCTGGGTCACAGATTTTATCTGATGGTCTTGAGATCAAGACTGTGTTCACTAGAAGTGCCAGCCTGGGGGAGACCCTGGGAGACCCTTGCCCAGGTGTCCAAAAAAATTCTGCAATAGAAGGGGCTGTGGGGTGGCCAGTGTGGCAGTCACTGCTGCCCTAATACTGTCTCTCTGCTTCTCACTGCAGTTCTCTTCCACTCCCTTGAACACCTCGGTACGGAGCTGCAGTCGAGCTCTCAGCGTTGACGGTGTAGAACCCCAGTGACACGGTAAGAAGAGACAGCACACAGGAGTGCAGATAGCAATAGCAGCTTCCTCAGAAAAACAAAGGAGCAAAGGGACTCTTCCCTTTCTGCTCAACCTTTCTTGGCCACCAACTACCTAGAAATAGAGCAGAAACAACAGAGCAGTAGCCTGCTTCTGTTTCAGGACTGCAAAGAGACAAAGAAAAATGGGACAATTCAGCATAATGTTAGGATCCCAGCAACAGTATGCTTGCAGTACAGTAACAAGGCTGCTGGAGGGAGCTCACAGTTTGTTAGAGGCCCTGGGGCTGGAAGGACGAGTACTATCAGAAAGCATATCTGCATGCTACAGTGGTCAGTGCTTAATGTTGTGGAGAGAGGCATGGATCAGAAGTGGGTGCTGGGCAGAGAGCCCTGGTGGGTAGCAGAGACAATGAGCCAAAGGCAGGGCTGAGAATATAAGAAAAGGCAACAGTCTGTGAGGACTTTAAACAAGGTCTTAGCAGCTGGAAACACAACTGGTGACTTAGACTGTAATATACTGAGTGGCTTATAGGAGTATATGGGGTGGGCCAGGAAGGGCTTTCTGACACAGCTGGCTGTACCCAACACATTAATTGTCTAGAAACGTATGCATGATGAGCGGCTACGCCATGCAGCCAGTGGGTAAATCCCTCTCCCATTCAGTTGCTGAAGGCAGGAGGAAGCAGTAGTGGTGCTGTTGTACACCTCTGGAAAAACCTGGATTTGTGTCATCTGGGAGTGAAGAAAGATCAGAAGACCACGCTGTTGGCTGCAGACCCGCTGCAGGGCTTGCAGCCTTGCACAGGGATCGCTGAGTTCCCTGTGTGGTTCCAATCCCAGGAATTCGTGTTGGAGCAAAGCTTTTTAGCTGAGGCCTGTCTTCCTTTTGATGGCTGAGAAAATACTCTGCCCGAAGCATTTGACTCAGTTGCTGCATTCCTGTAGGTGGATATTGATGTACGCAGGGGATGCTCCTTGTGTCTGAGGTTAGGCAGAAGAAAGACAAAACATGTGAGATCTGCATAGATAACTGCAAGTGTGTCCTACTGAGATTGCTGAATGGAGAATTCTTTTTATTACTTTTTTGCAGGTTGAAGTGGCTCAGCCCTATTCTCTTCCACTGCTGCTGGACGTTGCCTAACTAGGTGAACATATCCAGACTTACAGCAGCCTTTTTAGTTTTTGGTGTGGTTTTTCTTTTCTTTATGTTTTTGCCGTAAGAAGCTGGCCCTGTGCCTTTAGACAGGACTACTGCAGAAATGAACTTTCATCAGCACTCAGCCAGTGTCAGCGGCTGAGGCTGCAGTATCTGGGCCAATCTCACCCTGGCAGAGCAGAGAGGATGGGAACAGTCACGCTCTGCACAGACCCACAGTGCCTGACAGTCTGCATGTCAATACTTAGGCATTTGTGGGGACCACTTGCCTTGCACTGTTAATAGTCACAAACTGGATAGAATCACAAAATGTTAGGGGTTGAAAGGGACCTCAAAAGATCATCTAGTATCTACCAAAAATCTGACAGATACATGTACTAATTCCCTACCACTTCTACTCCTCTGTCTCTGTTTGGGTCCTGTGTGTCTGCTGCTCTGGGTGCAAAGAAAGCTGGGCCTGGGCTTGGAAAGTAGGGAATGAAACTGGTGTGTCCTTTTTGTTGAATGTAGTAGCACCTGAACAAGAGCTGACACAAGAGACAAGAATGCAGAGGAGATTTCCTGCCCTTGTATCAGTTTGCTGTCAAGCTGCTCCCCACTCCTTAGGCAGAGCTTAAGTCAAGGAATCATTGGTGAAACCCTCATTTTCATCCTGGCTGGAATCACTGGAAATTCAGACTGGAAAACATCCTACTTCATGTTGAGGGTAGAGGACTTGGAATGTACGGGACCGTGCTATGCATTTTCTACTTTTTAATTTATTTTCTATTATGTGTTTTCTACCTTTTAAAATAAAACTCTTTTAAATTAGATTCTTTGTATAAGGAGAAGCTCACTTTGTTTCTGTTACCTGCAGTCAGTTCAGCCATGGGCTGCAAATGGAGAACACCTAATGCCTCTGAAGTTAAACAGGATCATGCAAAGTGTCTCAGTGGAGAAACTGAAGGCTCAGGGGCTAGTAATCACAACTGCCACCCATAACAGCACTCCCCTCCTATGCCAACCTCATCTCCCCGCACATGCAGAGGGTGAGATCTCCCCTCTGCAGCGCGTGCTGAGCTCCCTCTGGCTCAGTGTATCCCCGGCAGATCCCAGGGCAAGGACAGCCACTCTGCCCACCCCACATCACCACTGCCTGGGAGACTCAAGTGTGGACAAGATCAGCTTGCACAGACTAGCGCCGCGGCCAGAGTAACTTTATTAATGTGATACAGAATGCTTGTGGCCATGTCTTAGTGCTGCCTGTGACTGTGGGGCTGTTTCTCTGCAATCTCCGGAGCAGTAGTGCTCAGCCATGAGATATCACAGGACAGCACTGCTGGGGATCGGACAGGGAAGTGGTGGCTTTTTCAGCCTGATGTCCTGGCTCTCCCCAGCATTGCTTTGCTGTGTTAATATACCTTTTCTCTTCCTCATGCTGGGTTCTGGCAGCTGCTTTGAGGCTGTTCAGGACAGAACCAGTCCAGGCAGCTGAAGGCTGCTATTTGCAGAGTCTTCCTGGCTAAGCCCAGGGCCTTTTGCTGGGCAGACTTGGAGCTCTGTGCCAGTATTCTCTTTGGCTTCCTCTACTGCTGGGCAGCTGGAAAGCTTGCCTTCTGGGTAGCACGTAGAACCACTTTGTGGCCAAAACATTCTAAGAACTCACTAATGCACAGAACTGAGACACATATGAGAAATGCATTTCAGTAATGGAACTGCTCTGTAACTCTTTCCTAGTTCTTGAGCCACAGATTGTGGGGTAAACCAAGGGCTAAGAGGCAGCTCCTGTAGCCTGGCAGGCATAATGGGGGTGGTGAAGAGTTCTCCACCATGAGCTGCCTCCAGCACCTCCTGGCGCTGCTGCAGGCACAGCTCACAAGTGACACACGGGTGAACAATATAAAGGAAGAGTCAGGACGCTTCTCTGGTGGATATGCATGGCACGTCTCCTGCCAAGTTTCCGAAGAAAAAGAGCAGATCAATCACAGATTCCTTTTGCGCCTGATTTGATGGATGGGATGTAGAATCACAGAAGCCTGGCACAAATCCAGGCAGGTCAGGTTTCTTCCACATCTGTTACTTCTGTTTTTTCTGTGACATGGCAAGAGGAAGCCAGGGGAAGAGAAGGGTGGGAAGCTGCTAGGCTGAGGAGGTTATGCAGCACTGGAGGCCTTGGCGTGATTTCTCCAAAGCTCTAGTTTGCAGGAGTGTTAGCAAATACTCAATGCTCTTTCTATATGCAAGGTCTAGCCAAGCTTCTGGAGAGTATTCTGGCTAGTGTTATGCAGTCCTGGGGATAAATGTGTGTCAGCAGTGGGGACAAGCTGAGGGAGGGAATACAATAGGCTGCTGAACAATAAAATGCAGACTTGACATCTCTAGGGTGGTCTTTGGCCATGAGCTAGAAGTTTGCAGGCAAAGTCAGGCTCTAGACCTTCAGCTCTATGTGAGAGCATAAGTTATGCTAAGGACTTCTTTCATCTTCTCCCTGAAGATGATCTTCACTGAAGAGAAGTAGCTACATGAATTGCCCTACCTCATTTCCTACAGCAGCAGCCTGTCCTGTGGCACTCAGAAAGTCACGTCTTAGAAAAATCAAAGAGCAAATTGTGTAAGCCCAAGTAGGAAGGCCATTCATGTTATATCATGTTATAGTTCAGCTGGCGTGTGAAGAACTGAATGGGATGTACTCACATAAAAGGCAAATACCAAGCTGTACTGGGCTGCGTGAGCAGGGGCAGCACCCAGAAGAGGGCCTGGCAGCCTGCAAGATCCCCTGGGCACTGTATTTCGTCCTTTAGAAAGTTTCCCTAACCTGCCTCCCTGTTTTTGCAGAAGGATTTTGTGTCCCTTTCCTACATCCCTCCATACTTTACATCTGAACAGTCTTGACTGCAAACATTTTAGCTAATCACCTTTAGGCTAACATCTACTCCAGATCAGTCTGTCTAAACTAGACCTCTGGCTTGCCTTGAGGCATCTGGTCAACAGTTCCCAGTCGGGCTGACTAAAACAGAAATTCTTATTCTTCTCTCCTTCTATTCTCAACCCTTCTTGTTCCCCTTTTTCTCTCCTCTCCTCTCCTCTCCTCTCCTCTCCTCTCCTCAGCCTCACAAGGAAAGTCTGCCCCATCTCTACTCACATTGTGTTTCCCAGACTATGAGTTCAGCAAAAATCACAAGCCCTAGCAGAGATGTTGGTAGGACAGCACTCATACATTTCTCCATCTTAA